TAGAGTGGCCTATTCAGGCTTCAGGCTCTTTATTAACTTTGTTAAGGGTTAAACCAAGTCATATATTTAAAAAAAAAAAAAAAAGACCAGGCAGAGATGGTGCACACCTTTCAACCCAGCACTCAGGAGGCAGAAGGCAGGTGGATCTCCGTGAGGTCGAGGCCCGCCTGGTCTACAGAGTGAGATCCAGAGCAGTCAGGACTACACAGAGAAACCCTGACTGTAAAAGAAAAAAAAATGGCTTTAGCTTTTGTCAGTTTAGACCATGTTACATGTAAATTATTACAGATGCCACATGACTGCTTTTTTTCTGTCATCTGTTGGTGTTGAGGGTATGGAAGAAAAATGCAAAGAAATTTTAAAAGATTCTATTAGTAGGGTTAATTTTAGAAGAACATTCTTCTTTCCCAAGAATAAACTTTGTATAATAAATCATTTACTCGATGTGGCAATCACTGATTCAGGTTGTAACCTGGGGTGTTCTAGAATGTTCTAGAGAAAGTGTCCGTTGAAGAGGAAGCAAGGTGGTCACTGTCTCTGGGAGTATTTTTAAATTGAAAATTAAAAATCATTTCTTTTGGGGGCTAAAACTTAGAATGAAATTGTCTCTTTACATAGCCTGACAATATAAAATATATTTACTGTATATAGGTATAGCAATTTGATGCTAACAAAAATATGTACTAAGTCATGTTTTCAAATACTAACTATGGCCATTTAATGTAATAGGTTCAATTTTTTATTGTTTTTATTGAGCTATACATTTTTCTCCACTCCCTTTCCTTCCTCCCCTCTCCCATGGCAACAGGTTTAATTTTTAAAAATTTCATCTTAACAAATTGCTTATAATAAAAAATTGAATTATTTGAAATACTCTGGTTTTGTTCATTAAATAATAGCTGATATTGTTAATATTTGAAACAAATATCAAAGTTTATCATACATGGAAGCAAGGAACATCTCTTTCTGTTCAGATTCATTCCTTGGATGCAATACTGACTGACTTCTTTTTTTTTTGTTTGTTTTTGTTTTTGTTTTTCAAGACAGGGCTTCTCTGTAGTTGGCACTAGCTCTTGTAGACCAGGCTGACCTCGAACTCACAGAGATCCACCTTCCTCTGCCTCCTGCATGCTGGGATTGAAGGCATGTGCCCAGTTTAACTGACTTCTTTTACACAGCTTCCGGGTGCTTATTCCTTATGCAGGAGACTGATATGGACAAACAGATAATTGCAGTTACCTTATCCTTCTACAGAACTGATTCATGATCTAGCCAGTTGTACAATTGCCTTGAACCAGCTCAGGACTTCAAGCATCCTAGGCAAGAATTGAGCCTCCTTTCCAGGCTGATCAACAGTTATTACAGATTTTAGAGGAAGAAGAAGAAATCACCAAAGAAACAACTGAAGATTGCTTCAGGACAGTGAATAAATGCCCAGGACAGTGAATAAAAATTGATTTACATAGTGACCTCATTACCCCTGAGAATAATGAGACAGTTTTCACATAAAAATAAACAAATAAATAAATTAGAATAAAAGTTTCATAGAAAGCGTCAAGTAGAAGAATTGACAGAATTTGTCAATGGCAGTTCTAAAGGGTAGCAGGTCACTTTAAATGCCTTGACACATTTACGGGACAGCAATTTCTAAACTAGAATTGTGTTCTATCAATTGTATATGAAGGGAAATAAAGATATTTTCTGATAGGTGGGGTAGCAATTTGAGTCAAGAAGCCATTGTCAAGAAGCTATTGTTGGATATGTTCTACCAAAAAGGGGTAAGTGCCCAGAAAGGAAAGGAGCGGGCCAGTGACATAGGCCAACATTGGAAATGGACATGTGCTTTTTATGCATGTGCTGTTGTAGAAAGTCCATAGGTACAATTCAGCCTGAACACCAGGATGTAATGATGTCAGTCCATTACTTACACACATTGAGGAAGGCATAAAACCATCAGTCAAAATTTTTTTTAAAAAAGGAAGGACACTAAGAGGAGAAAATGGGAGCCATCGAGATGGTCCCACAGGTAAAGGTGCTTGCTGCCCGGCCTGCCAAAACGAGTTTCATTCCCGGGAGCCCCAGAGTGGAAGGGAAGAACTGACTTCCAGACGGTCGTCCTCTGGCCTCCACACATGTATGCCTAGAATTTTTAAAGGATTGTAAAGAGTGAGAAACAATGGACTCGCTACAAGGAAACAAATAAAAACTGGTTTCCTCTGAGAAATGGGAAACAGATAGAGATCTGTGTGTGACTTTTGTTGTTGTTTTGTTTTTCCCTAGGCCAGGTGGCTTCGAACTTGCTCTAAAGCAGAGGATGATCTCTTTTTGTTTTTATTAAGCTAGATATTGTTCTCCACTTCCCTCCCTTCCTCCCCTCTCCCCTTTTACCCTCTCCTGTGACCCCCACACTCCCAATTTACTCAGGAGATCTTGTCTTTTTCTCTTTCCTATGTAGATTAGATTCATGTATGTCTCTCTTAGGGTCCTCTTTATTGTCTAGGTTCTCTGGGGTTGTGATTTGTGGGCTGTTTTTTCTTTGATTTATGTCTAAAAGCCACTTATGAGTGAGTACGTATTATATTTATCTTTCTGGGTCTGGGTTACCTTACTCAGTATGGTTTTTTCTAGCTCCATCCATTTGCCTGCAAAGTTCAAGAGGTCATTTTTTACCGCTGAGTAGTACTCCATTGTGTAAATGTACCACAATCTACCTCAAGACCCAACAATACACTTTTGGTATACACCCAAAGGTTGTACCACAAGGCTGTGTGTTCAACTATGTTCATAGCAGCCTTATTCGTAATAGTCAGAACCTAGATGCCCTTCAATCCCAGAATGGATAGAGAGGAACTTATCATCCCATCTCCTGTGGATCCTCCCATCTCCTTCTCCAGTGCTAGGGTTGCAAGCATGTCTCCAGCCCAATCCATGCTATTTTTTCCAATACAGGTCTTGCAGAACTATAAAGCCTGTGAACCACATACTTTTGTAATTTTGTTTGTTTGTTTGTTTTGTTTTTTCGAGACAGGGTTTCTCTGTGTAACAGTCCTGGCTGTCCTGGAACTGCCTTGTAGACCAGGCTGGCCCCGAACTCACTGAGATCCACCTGCCTCTGTCTCCCAAGTACTGTGATTAAAGGCGTGCACCACCACCACCCAGCTGTACTTTTGCAAATTTAATAAGAATAAACATAAAAGTCAATGTAAATAATGTCATCACACAGACGGATCTAGGCGTGGCTGACATGTATGTATCCTATAGATTGTCTCTTACAATAGATGTTTGGCATCTCAAGCCTGTGGTGAATGTATCATACTTAAAATCCTGTCAAATGCCTATTGTGGGAGACGAGGTACACACAAGTGTATTTCTGAGCATGTTAAAGCTAGCTAGACTTGTAAGATCTCACAGCAATAACAGAAGAAAGTATTTCAGCCTGAAGGATTTCAGTCTGAAGAATGCATTCCGGAGGAGAGCTAACAGTGTCAGTTACAAAGACTGTCTCATCATAGCCTGACAGAACCGTTATTTTATGTCCTTTTAAACAAGAAGTTCCTCTGACAACTCGGTCCGTGCATTTGATGCCTCTTACCAAGCCAATAGGCTCAGCAGCTTCTGAACTCAGGCAGTCAGAGGCAGGACTTACACTAACACCTAAAGGCCAATACTTAGTCATTCAGAGTAACTGTTACTTAATTTAACTACAAAGTAAAACAGAGAGAAGACTCCAACAAAAGCCTTTTTCTTTCCTCGGGACTGGATGTTCTTTCTCCTGCTGTAAGCAGTAATATTATACTACAACTTTTGGAAGAGAGTGACTAAGAGCCTGGGATTTGAGACAATTTAGTTCCTATTTATGGTGTAAAGAGGTGAAGGCTTTACACTGCAGAAATCTCCATTCTCCTCAGCTGCTCACAGTGAAACAAAACAGACTGTGAGCTAGAGCGGGCCTGCTGCTTCTGTAGACCGATTCAATCTTCAGAGAATTTTGGTTGAGTCTACAAATTTGTTGTAGCCAGGCATGGTGGCCTGCGCCTTTAGTTCCAGCAGAAGCAGGTGGATTTCTGTGAGTTCCAGGCCAGCCTGGTCTATTTAGCAAGTTCTAGACTAGCTAGGACTACATCAAATCAAGATAATTGGCGGACGTAGTATATTTAGATATATATTCGGTTAGCCTTCCCCCACCCCACCTTTTTTAAAAGGGTCCTGTTCTGCAGCCTAGACTAGCCAGGAACTTGGAGTATGCCATCTTCCTGCCTCAGCCTTTCTACTCCCAAGTATTAAGATTGCAGGCATGAGCTACGTCAGTTTTATCTTTTAAGGATGGATCAGAGGCTGGCAAGCTAGTTCAGCAGTTAAGAATGCTTGCTGCTTTTCCATAGGACCCAAGCTGAGCTCCTATTACCCACGTAAGATGGCTTACAATTGCCTCTAAGGTCGGCTCAAGTTCTGGCATCCATAGGCACCCTCACACAGATGGTATCCATACATATACAAATACCAAAATTTTAAATTTAATTTTAAAAAGGAATAGCTCAGATAGAACTTTAAGTTCATCTCATGAATCTATGTTCCTATCCCGCATCTCAATAGTTTGTGAATGTATATCAGATCAAGTGTAGCGCCGGGTATGGCAGGTTCTACAGAGCCCCTGGGTTTGGTGCAACAGTCTGAAGACCAGAATTCCAAGTCAAATTACCCAGGCCGCTTGTGCTGGATGAGTGGGTGTAAGGGGGAGGAGAGGATGTGGGGCCAGCTTAGCACCTTAGCAGGGGCTCTGTCCCTCCAGGGCCCACTGTTTCACACGTCATAACTGACTATGGCGAGGGATAAAATATACTTTCTGTGGTTCTTGCATTTTTCAATAGGTCACAGCAACTACTAAGTGGGTATTTGTTTACTGCGGTTTATACGGGTCCACAGCAGTGTCAGGCGATGAGCGTCTTTCCGGTTCCCATCAGCCACTTGTCTCTCCTGTGTTCTGTTGCCGGTGACGAAATGGCATACATGGCTGTGTTCCTTCACTTCTGTATGTAACGGGAAGCTAACAGCACTGGTCTTCTGGGAAGTTCTCGGAGACACAACAGCTTGTGAGCTGCTTCATTGCTCAGATACTTCATCACGACTCTGGTAAATGTGTAGGAATGCCCTTCTAACTGCCGGGGAGGGTCTGGGTTTATAACGGACATGCTTCACCAATAAGTAGCAGAGGGTGGGGCTGCGGAGAGTGCTCGCAGATGACCTGAGTTTGGTTCTCAGAGAAGACACTCGGGGTGACTCACGACCACCTGTAACTCCAGCTCCAGGCGATCCAATGCCTTCATCTGGCTTCCGACTCTGTCCCGAATCTAGACCCACTGAACATGTGTAGCATTCACTCACACAGAAACACATAAAATAATTAAACATAAAATAAACATATAAAAATAGTTAAAGTATACCTAAAAAAAATAAATAGTAATTAGCAGAGGAGCTATCCTGAGTAAGTCAGATGTTTTAGAAATGGATGTTTGTGGGATACATACCAAGAATAAAAACACAGAGGAAAGGTGTTTCCTTGTTTTTGCCATGTGGTAGCAATGGTTAAGCTCTCTATTCTGTCCAGTGTTTGTATTTTTATTCGGTTTTGTATTTTATTCGGTTGTGATAAATTATCTCCATAATCTTACAACTTAAAGGTCATTGCATGAGAGGATCACTCTTGATCCTAGCGTCTACCTCCCGAGAACGGGGATTACAGATGTGAACACCAGAGCTGGCCGACTGAATCTACAGATGTGGACACCAGAGCTGGCCGACTGAATCTACAGATGTGGACACCAGAGCTGGCCGACTGAATCTCCTTTTGTGCAGCTGAAAGAACACTTTGGGGTCTCTTTTCTTCACTCGTGCATACAGGTAGTTTCCCCCATGGTCAAAACATTCCATGAATATTTGTTTTTAATGTCTGCATAGTGTTACATCATCATACCAATGTATGCTTCTTTCCTTAACTTTTTCCTTTATTCAGTCAGGACTTTTTCATGTCTTTTTTTTTTTTAACATCAAACCCAATAAATTGGTCATTTTTTTAAAAAAAAGACTTATTTATTATGTATACAGTGTTTTGTCTGCATGCTTGGACACCAGAAAAGAACATTCATTATAAATGGTTGTGAAGTACCATGTGACTGCTGGGAATTGAACTCAGGTCCTCTGGAAGAGCACCTAGTGCTCTTTAACATGAAGGGTCCTGTTTGTTTGGGGATTTCTGTCCTGCCTGTCCCCCTAGTTGTTTAGTCCCAGAGGAAAAAAATCACACAAGAGCTCTCTAGGAATTATAAAGCTGATTGGCCCATTAGGTCTAGCCTCTTACTGGCTAACTCTCACATCTTGATTAACCCATTTTTCTGATCTATGTTAGCCATGTGGCTCAGTACCTTTTTCAGTGGGGCAGCTCACATCCTGCTGCTTTGGTGATCTGGGCAGGAGTGGGAGTAATCAACTTCCTCCTCCCCAGAATTCTCTTGCTCTCCTTGCATCATTTCCACTTCCTGTCTGGTTTTCCCACCTATACCTCCTGCCTGGCCAATCAGCATTTATTTAACACATGATTGACAGAATACAGACAATTCTCCCGCACCAGCTCTTAACCTCTGAGCCATCTCTCTAGCCCCAGTCAGGACTTTTCCAATGGTATGACTTATTTTTTTAACTAACCCAGGAGCTTTTAGATTAATTTCTAATAAATAATAAATGTTTCAAAAATTTCACACCAGGTGGTCGTGGCACAGCCTTTAATCCCAGCACTCAGGAGGCAATGGCAGGAGGATCTCTGTGAGTTCAAGGCCAGCCTGGTCAACAGAGTGAGTTTCAGGACAGCCAAGACTATACAGAGAAGCCCTGTGTTGAAAAGTAAAAAAAAAAAAAAAGGAAACATGGGTTATTATACATATAAAGTTAAGACAGAGACATTCATAAGTATAGACACTGTTCTGGTCTGTAAGCATATTCTGTTTGTACAATGTATGTAGTATCATCTTTTACAGAGGGGTAATTTTTTTCAAATATTCAGAAATAAGAACAAAGCAGGAATGGAGAGATGGCTCAGTAGTTAAGAGCACTAACTGCTCTTCCGGAAGGTCTGGGTTCAATTTCCAGGACCCATAAGGTAGCCCACAACCATCTGTAAAACCAATCCAAGGAGAGCTGATGGCCCCTTTTGCCTTACTGGCACGGGACACACATGACCCACAGACAAAACACCCATGCACATAAATAAGACAATAATACTACTAAATTCACAGGAGGATTAGAGAAACAACCATCGTGGGAATGATAGCTGTGTTGCATAGAAAACCGAACAGCTACCTGAACGGATCAACTGACTGTGGTCATTCTCACTCATTTTATACCCACAGTGTGAGCTCCTGGTTCTCGTGTCCGAAACTGAAGCAGGCAGGTAGAGGCAGATGGATCAGGAGTTCAAGGCCAGCCTGGGCTCCATAGACTCTGTCAATAATAATGATACCAGCACCAATAACAGTAATAAATAAAACGTGAACTGAGGGAACTTGACTTGTCCTTTTTAGTTGTCTGCTCATCTGCAAGCCAGTGCTCTTAGTCTTCCATGGCTACACTCCCTTGCCCCTGCTCTGTCCGGAGTCTGGACCGCAAAGCCCTACCTTCCACCTTCCGATTCTTCTTATTATACTGCTCTGCTTCTGTCCTATGTTTAAGTTTTCACGTTTTTAGTCCTTGCATTTCTTTGGTTTCCTGTGTATAGTCAAACGCTATGACTTTTGGGGTTTTTTTTTTTGCCCACCCACCTCTGCTCTCCCTGGCTATTTCTTGCTTCTCTGGAAAACTCTCATTCAGGGCTATCCAGTATCTTTTTCCCATGATTCTCTGTCTTTATTTCCTAACTTCTCTGTGGTCATTCCTGTGCATCTTTCATCGGCAGCTTTTAAGGTGCTCTTAACCCTTAGAGGTCATTTTAAAACCCTACTATTTGCCTACCTGTGGGCTCAACAGACAGAATGAAGACCTTAGGAAGGTTGTCCACACAACAAATTTCATCTTATAGATTCTCCTCATGCTATTTTTCATCTCTGGCATGAGAGCTCTCTTTGGCAGGGGGATATAGAGTTTATTTAATGGGTAAGGGGATGTGGAGTGGAGAGAGAGAAAGGTGGAGAGAAGGCATCGAGAATCTCATTAATCAGTGATTTTTACCTTTTTTGCTTTAAAAATTTACACTTATGTATTGATTGAGGGGGTGCGGAGGTTAAAGGTCAACTTGCATGCGTCAGTGTTTTCCTCTCCCCAGGTGGGTCCTGGGGCTCGAACCCAGGTCAGCAGGGTTGGGAGGCAGGCTCCTTTATCACCAAGTCTTCTCACAGGCCCTCTTTTTTCCTTTAGTAAGATTCAGAATCCCGAGCATCCGGGGACCCCTCTCTATTCAACTTCGTGCTTCCCTGATCCTGTTGTTGCTGTCTTCAATTCTTACAAATGCACTTATTTCAATCTGTGAGTCCTGGGGGTAGAACCCAACCCTCGAACGCCTTCTGTTTTCCCTCCTCCCTGCCCTGGCCGTAGATGGCGGCCATCTTTTGTGGCCCTCCTTTTCTAACCACAAGACTGGCTAACTGATAGACTTGTAAACAAGTCAGAGCCGCTTGCAAGGACTCACTCCCTTGACTGTAGAGATGGGGCTACTGATAGCCTGTGAGCAGAATGGAGCCAGGTGCTCCTCAAGAGCTTAATGAGAAAAGCTATTTCATCTCTCAGGGACCAGGGACCGTAAGAGCTGCTTCTCTGGGGCACCTCTCCCTCAAGAGAACAAAGGAGAAGCAGCTGAGCATGTTTGTTCTGTCCCCTCCCAGCCTTCCTGAGAGTTAATTGTGCAATTATTTATTCAACTCTGATAGCTAGCCCGGTATTCTTTCGGCAAGTCTCCTATTTGTCAATATATTAAACTATATTTTGAAATCCTTATAACTGAGACCTATCTCAGTGATAATACCCTAAATCACATATGGCAAATCACTTTAATTTAAAATAATAAAGCAGCTGGGTGGTGGTGATGCATGCCTTTAATTCTAGCACTTAGACAGTGGCAGGCGGATCTCTGTGAGTTCCAGGCCAGCCTGGTCTGTACATCAAGTTACAGGATAGCTAGGGCTACACAAAGAAAACCTGTCTCCCAAGCAAGACAAAACAAAAACCAACCAACCAACCAACCAACCAACCAACCAAACAAACAAACAAACAAAAAACCAAACCCAACCAAACAAAAAGCCACTATAGCTGAGCAAGTTCACTCGGCACCCAGGAGTCAAAAACAGAAGCATCTTAAACTCGAGGCTAGCCTCAACTACATGGAGATACCCTGTCTCAAGACACAAAACATCTGGGCCAATAGCAGAATGCTTCTCTAGCATGCATTAAGGCCCTGAGTTCTGTCTTCAGTAAGAAAAATTTAAAATCAGCCAACAGACAACAGTTTTGCAGTGAAAAGCAGATTCCTGAGACCAACCAAGGAAAGGCTAACACCACGATTTCTCTAGTGCTGTTTCTTCTATTTAGCAAAACAGCGTGATCTCACAAAATGATCTCTATGATAGGTCTTCAGCAATTTTAAATTTAGTGGCAAATACAATCCATTCTCTCTGGGTTTTTTTTTTTTTTAAGACAGGGTTTCTCTGTGTAATAGTTCTGGCTGTCCTGGAACTCACTCTGTAGACCAGGCTGGCCTCGAACTCACATAGATCTGTCTGCTTCTGCCTCCCAAGCGCTGGGATTAAAGGCATGAGCCACCACCACCCAGCTAGACTTTTTTTTTTTTTTAGTTACAGAATGAGGGACTTCTATGTGTACATCTGATTGTTAACTTCTATTTACCTTGCTTTGATAAGTAATGTCAAACGTAAACCATTTATCTGAGAGAGTCATATTGAACTGACCGCCACACCGCTCACTGCAAAGTCACGGGGGAAACGGGTGTTGGAGAAAGACTTGACCAAAGACCACACTTGATTTAACTAAATCAACATTTTTTTTTTTACTCTGCCATGGACAAGTCAAGGCCACTGTAGATCTATAGCTTTGTTAGTTTGCTCCTCTGTGGAGAGGTTTTGATCTACAGAGCCCACTCAATACTCAGTGTACTGCTCTCAGACTATTGCCCCACCGTGCTTCTACAACTCATGTGACCAAGGTCACCAGCAGCAACCTGGAAATGGCAAGATGTGGAGGCTAGGGCACCAGTCACACTTGGTCAAACCCTGGGGCTGTCACTTTCCAGCTTGGAGGCTTAACTCTGAGCTATGCATTGGTTTCTGTAGTGTCCGATCCTGCATCCTGGGTATGAGAGAGGTGAGGTGTAGGTGACAGGAGCGACACCATATTAAACATTGCCACTCACCAGAACATTAGATCCTTCAAGGGCAAGGTCAGTGTCTCATTCATAACTCTATCTTTAGTGTCTTGACATATAGTAGCTACTCAAATATAAATAGAATGAATTGCTAAATCAGAATCCAGTGGCGTTTTCAGGTCCTTTAGTATTTGATCTTACCGTGGCAATCTATCAGTCACTCAGGCAGCAATTACCTTGTCCCAACTGCTGAAAAGTTCCAAGCACTTCACAAATGCAATTTACTTAATTCCCACACCAACTCTGAGTGATAGGCGCGATCATCATGGACCTTTTACAGATGATGAGATGCGGGAACAAAGAAATTTCACTAACTTTCCCATGTTTGCGGGGCTGAGCTTCACAGTTTCTACCGGAACCCAGGAAGCTGGTGCAGAGTCTAAGATTTGAACCTCTGTGCGCTTCCAAGCATTTCCTTCTGGTGAACGATCTCAGTTGTTTCCGTGCAAAACTAAACAATCTTTGTATTTTATTTAGTTTTATTTTGAGACATGATCTTACCCAGTAGCCCTGTCTGACCTGTAACTTCCTTTGTAAACCAACCCACACCTTATGGAAGCATTTTCTCTGCTGAGTTGACCTCCTCTTGGATGATCCTAACTTTTATCAACTTGACTTTAAAAACCAACCAGCACGCCCTCCAAAAAACACACATGCTTTTCTACTTAATTCTCTAGGAAAAAAGTACCCCTACTCAGTATATAATAGAAATCAGAAATCCCAGCATTCCCTGAACCTTGGCTCTGTCCTAATTGCTCCCCAGCATCCATGCCTGACACACACTTCCTAAACACTCAGCCCCCAAAACCGCCTCCTTAGTTCTGATTCTCTGACAGCTATACCGCCTGAACGAGTCACTTTGGGTCTAACCTGGGCCACCTCTGTCCACCTCCACTGCCCGGTGTCTGTTGTTTGTTCCCACAGTGCTTCTAAGGTGCATGGTTGCCACCCGGCTACAGGCTCACCCCCCGTTTTATATTCATCTTTTAAATTTTATCACATTGCTTTCTCAGCTAAATTCTTTAATGACTCACACTCTCTTCTTAAAGAAGAGCTGAACTTCTTACTTGACACGCAAGACCTTCATAACCCCATCCTTCCCCTTCTCCCGCTTTACCTCTTTCCCATCTCGCTGCTTCCAAACTTTGTGCTTTGGCAGTCCTGATCTCCCAGCAGGTGGCAGGTGCACTAGGTTCCCTCCATACTGTGTTCATGGAGACTCTTTCTTTGTAATCTTCTTCCCTGGGTGCCTCTCTCATCACACCACCTCCGCTTTCAACAATCAGATCTTCAGAAACAGTTATATCACAGGCTCACCACAAAGGGGGCAGGAACTCAATAGATTTAACTTCCTTCGTACAACCCACTCTTTCCCCCTGGAAAGACTGATGTGTGGATCACTATGACTACTAGCTCGTGTGTGTGTGTGTGTGTGTGTGTGTGTGTGTTGCATGAGCGTGTGGGCGTGTGCACAGGCACATGGAAGCTGGAAGCGGGATCGAGGGTCTTCCTCTATCGCTCTCCACCTCGTCGCCTTGACACAGGGCTTCTTCTCACTGCGCTGTTTCCAGCCGTTTTGGCTAGGCTGCCTGGCCGTGGAACTCTCAAGATTTGCAGGTCTCCACTGTCCCTGAAGCCTTAATGTTGGGGTTGTAGGCACATCTAGTCATGCCTGGTCTTCTGTGTAGGTGCTAGAAACTCAAACTCAGGTCTTCCTGGTTCCAGAGCCAATGCTCTTGCCTTCAGAGCCAGCTCCCCAGCTCTATGTTTTTTCATCTATCAGTTGGAAGGGTGCTTGCCTATCATCCTTAAAGTTCCTATCATCCCCCAGTACCCCATAAAACCAGGAGTAGTGATAAATGTCTGTCTGTGATCCCAGCACTCAGGAGGCTGAGGCAGGAGCATGTAGACACATGCATTCGTACACACACACACACACACACACATACACACACACACACACAAACACATGAGGGGGGAGGCTTTTTCTTGATTACTATTATTTTGTATAATAAATTTTAACAAGTGGAACTACTTAAAGTAGACTTATTTTTAAATGGGTTTATTGTATGTATATTTTATAGAGATATACATATATAACGATAAAATTCCTGATACTTATTTTG